TCACTACTACCAAGAGAGCCAGTTTGGTGTCATGGTGAAGGCACCTGCCTAGAAACCAGGAGACGGTAAGTTTTAGTTCATCCTTAGGCACCAAGCCAGCTGGGTGACCTTGGGCTAGTCTCTCTCTCTCAGCCCTAGGAAGGAGGCCATGGCGAACCATTTCCAAAAATGCTACCAAGAAAACTGCAGGGACTTGGCCTGACAGTCACCAGGAGTCAACTCTGACTCGAAGGCACCAAAAACGAAACAACCAAAAAACATACATCTAGTCTTTGTGAAAATACTTGCTTCTTCAACCTCCCTGGTTTTCAATAACATCAAGCAAGCAGCTGGGTTTAATTTGATACAGGACATGTGGCATGCTGTTCCCCATGCTGATTGGGTAAAATCACCAGGAGACTCCTCCAGGATAAAGATAAGAGCAGTAATCAGAGGTACCCATGATGCCCAAGAAAATCAGAGCTGAGGAAGACAAATGTTTCATACCTCTGTCTAGAATTGTGCAGGGTTATTCCAGGCGTCTTCAGGCCAATGGGCACATTTGAACATCAGAGATCGCATCCTGGGTGCCCCAAGAAAAGGGTTGCCAGAGTGGGGAAGCTGGACTTTTCCCAAAAGGGCTCCCACAGTGGGGTGGCCCAAGGGACAATTTACTCAAATGCAAGAGTGAAGTTGCTCTCTGCTGCTCTTTCTAGCTGCCTAGAATATTTGCTATCAACTCCTAGCTTGCAGGAGACTCCATCTGCAAGAAAACCCATGGGGGCCGAATGGAATCAAGGCCTTTCTTAGAATTAGATGATTCTAGAGGCTGGTCCTTTGGTTTCCATCAGGCCAATAATCTTTTAAAAGTTTAAATAAATGGAGATACCAGGTTTTAGGTCACAGGGAACTAATTGAACTGAAGGCAAATCCTTCTTCCAAGCACAGACCTCACTAGGTTTTCATTAGCAAGCTTTATTAAGATGAAAGTAGGATGGTTACAGGAATTCTAGCAAATGGATTATTTTCTCTTGGAGTCCAAATATGTCTGTGTAAGCTGGAGGGGGAGGAATTTTCTGATTCTTTCTTTTTAGCAGCCTTATGATATAACAGTGAGGGGGCCCATCTTTTCTCAGAAAGCTGTGGGTCTACAGCTGTGGGTTTTTGGGTGATGGTTATTTGAATCCTTATTAGTCTGAAAACCAACCCTTTCAGTAAGGAGACTATGTTATGGTTTAAGAATGCAATCTGCTATTCAGGAGCAGTCGCCTTCAGTTCAGTGGGACGTATATTTAGATGCAACCCGAGAACTGGGATGGGGGAAAATCTACCTCGTGGAAATGGATAATATCTGTTCCAGCACTGTTGTCTAGCCTCTTTTCCCATCATTATGCCTTCCAGATGTCTGGGATTTTATCACCCTGAATCCCCAGCCAGCATAAAGGTTGGGCAAGGCAACCTGGAGGCCCTCAACCACAATTTCTGCTCCACCAAGCCATTAACCAATGTCCCTCCCTTATCTTGCACTCTGATTGTCTTTATCAAAGCCGGTGTTGTTGTAAATGATGGCATCACTGATGTGCTGAACCTCAGTGTGGGAGATTTATTGGCCAGATCAGAATCCAGCACATAAAGTGAGAGATTCTCTGCCAAGCTGGGTCAAATTCTGTTTTCTCCCAAGCTATGTTATGCAGTTGAACAGTTCCAGATCTAGGAGGAGGTCCCAAACTATTCAAAGCAAGGCCCCAAAGACTAGGCCCAGGTCCAGAAATATTGTAAAGTCTGCAGGGATAGGTCTCTGAATTAATAACATTTCTAGCACAATAGACTAAGCAAAACCTCTCCCTTGCATCTTCAGCCAGATCTCAAGATTAGCCGTTGTGTTTTTGAAAGGAGTCTCCTGTCCCAAAGGAGGAGACAACCCACCAATTGTATTTTTCAAATGGGTCCTCCTCCCCACACAGAAATATGCATCCATGTAAAAAAGTACACGGATCAAGATTCTCCCTATAGATAGCAGCTAGACATCTGATCGCACTGTGAAATCAGATTTTCTGATTAAAACTTTTGCTTTTCTCAGATCACGCATACTTTCTTCTTTAATTTGTCCTAGGTGGAATTGTTCTTCATTTTGCCCCATGTCTCTAGGAAACAGCTGGTTGTCTAAACCAAACTTACTGCCAGAAGTAGACAAGGTATTATCATAAGAAATTCCTGGCACAAACCCACCATTTGACAGAAGGGTAGGAACAGCACCTTATAAGCAGACCAATAATGTCTAAAAATACTGCTCTCAAATCCATCTAAGACACAGCAGCGGAGACATCCCATAACTTATGTTGACACAAACTGTGGGTTAGTGTCGCCAGCCTGCTTTGTGAAGTATGTTTTCTTCCAAGACAATTCAAAACCCTCCAAAAAGTAAGACGCCCAAATCTCAGCTCTAGAAAATGCATTTTTATCTCACATCATCATCATTCGACAGAAGAGGAAAGATTTAACATTTGGCAAAAACAACATTCCTGCATGTTAATTTTATGGTCTATTTCAAATTAATGAAGCCTTAATTGGATAGCTTGCATGATGTTGTCTCAGGTGCTGAATAACCAACCGCTCGCTTTCAGACAACAAAATGTGTTGGATGAGTTACCATCTGCAGGAGCAAATCTTACTGAGACATTAGTTTGTTTATACCACCCCACCTTTGGGTGGGATAGGACTTTTAAAACACCAAACCAAAGCGAACAAGACAGCCTACAAACAGAGCACTGAGATCAAACAAACCACAAAGTCCCAACCAGATTAAAGTATCACATCCAATCCACTCTCAAACTTAGCAAGACAAACACAGAAACTGAGCTTAATGTTATATTTAGAGAAACAAGAACACCCAAATCACAATGTTCCTTCTGCTATTTAAACAGTGAACTGGCATCACAGACCTGCCCAACATGTGACCTGCAGCAAGAGAGCACGCAATAAATATACGTCCATGTAGGTTTAGTACAATACAGCAGAGGTAAGTAACCTATGACCCTGAAGATATTGTTGGACTACAGTTCCCATCGTCCTTGCAGAAGTTGTCTTGGATGGTGACAGTTGGAGATCAGTAACATTTGGAGATATGCAGTTTGAACTAGGGTACAGGAACATGAGAATGGACATTGTTTCTTTGATGTCCTTGTCTGGTTGATCATTGGGCTGGGTGATCATAGCAAATAATTATTCTACAAAGGTGGTGAAGGCATTTAGAGTGGTTTGCATAAAACGTGTAATTGGTGGGTTTCTGGATATGAAGCATATCCCACACAGCTTCAAAATTTCAAAGCTGATTATTGCTTTGATCAAAAACGTTGAACCTGCTTCTCAAAGGCTGTTGCTTGAGACTGTTCCACAAAGCATCAAAGTGCCTTATGGTCCTTGAAGGCAGGACAGAAGTGAGACACACTGCAGTCACTGCAGTCACTTCAAGGAGCTCCAAAAGTCTCCTCTGCGTGAAGAAGATACTTCTGGTGGTGCAAAGTGTCTCATCTCAACCCTTTGGTCAGAAATGGTAAAATGGGCTGCCTCCCTTTTTCACGTCAAGCTGATGCCTTGAAGTGAACTATAGTTTCCATCCTAATCAAAATTCAGAGCAGAATCACTTCATAGAGGCCTGATATCCAATGTTGTTGGAAGGACGGGACCTCAGGCCTGACCAGTTGAGGGGGAGAAGTGAATTGAAGAACTCAGTGGGGCAACTGACGGCATGACTCCACGCAGAAGTCCACATTAAAGCATCCCTGATAGATATCTGTGTAGTCTCTGACTGAAGGGGAACCCATCCTCCTTCTTCCATAATTGGTTCGATTGTTGAACTGCTCTGCTTTCCGAGAATTTAAACCTATTATCCCATGTCCTGCACTCTGGGATAACCAAGAATGTGGCCCTTTTCAGTGTGACACCCTTTCAGGCAATTGAAAAATACCATCATCTCAAGGCTAAACGTACCCTTAACTAGATAGTCACTAGATGATTTCTAGTTGGCCAAAAATGAGAATGCTTCCTAACTAAAGACGCAGAGGGGTAACGGGAGCTAGCTCTGAAGAGGCCAAAAGGAACAAAAGATTGGGAACTGTAAAAAGGTGATGGTGGGCATTTATAATCATGTTCTTATTTAGGAGTTGCCTTGATTTGAACATACTGTGCCATTGCATGGAATGAATGTAGTAGAAAAATAGCAACATTCCTGTCCTAAAAAAGAATCACACCCATTGGTACGCCTGGGAACACAACCCACGTCCAGTTTCCCAGGCCTTGTTCAATCCCCAGAGTTTTGACAGCTTGGCTAGTACCAACCCTTGGTAGATGTTTTTGAGAACCTGTCTGCACCAAATTAATCTCCCAGTGTTGAAGGTTCCCAAGGCTACTTCTCCATCCTGCTGACTACCAGACATTTTGCTCACAGAGCGTATTTCCTGTTTTCATATATTGCTGTCCAGGGAGCCGCTACATCTATATTTCAGACAGAGCAGACGAAAACAGGAGCAGTACACAGACTAGGGAGAGTAATGCAGAAAGGCCATATTTTGAATTCAACCATACTTTCACAAAAGCCACATCAAAAAGCTTTCTTACCAAAAAAACAGAAGGTGTGGACGAAGGGGATGGGTTCCACAGATCAGTTTTCAGATCATCCACTTCCAGTTCATCTCAGGTATTACCTCATAAATCAGTTTGGGCCTCACCTAACACTCCTTACGAAGCCTATTCTCTTTTTCGAGCATTCACTCAACATTTCAAGTTCCACCCGTAAGTGACTTCACAACCTTTGTTTTGACTGATGACCATTCTAGGAAGAAACACTCTCCTCAAGCTTCTGGTTCTTGCCAGAAACATTATTCTCAACCTGGTTTCTTCTAAATACATTGAGACTACAATGCTCAGAATCCTGAAGGCTGGGTAGGGAATTCTGGCAACTGCAGTACCAACAGATCACACAATTGGGGGAAGGCCTCTTTTGGGAAAGACAGATCACTTACCCAAGTAATTGTTGCTCTTTGACATCTCTGTAATGTTGATTTTGGTGGCCCCCTCTGGAATTTCTACTATTTTGTGGTAGCCAAGGTTGGTCAGGGTGTGCTTGAAGACTCCCGAAACCACTCTGCAAGCTGTATTGTCCCCACCGCAGATTCCACATTTGTCCACCACCTTGTCAGAGCCAAGATAGTCATCACAGCCAATACTCTGTTACAGAACAGGGAAAAAGAGAATCAAGCGGTCAGTTCACAACACGTGGAACGCATCGGAACTGGTTTCAGGAAAGCAAAGCGAAACTCAGTGTAGCTAAAGGACCCAACACCAGCCTGGAACAGCTCCAGTTTCTGCATTTCAGAAGGAGGGTAAATTACTGTTGACCAGTGTTTCTCAAAGTGTGGCCCGAGGACCCCTGGGTGTCCCCCAAGACCCTCTCAGGAGTCCTCGAAATCAAAATTATTTGCCAGCTTATGTTGAAAAATAATACAATATTAAACTCCCATCAAAGAATCATGAGAAGCAGTAGTGGCAGCAAACGCGTCAATTTAAAATTTTAATATGGTAAATATTGATAAATATCACCCATACAAACAAAAGCTCTTTGGGGGAGGGGTCCTCCATAATTTTTAAAAGCAGGAGGGGGTCCTGAGAGACAAAAGTTTAAGAAACACTGCTGCAGATTAAATACATGAAATAAATACATTCACCAGCGTGGCTCTGTAATGCAGGGGGTTGAACGCACATATAAATCTTCCCAAATTAATTCAAATAATCATCAAATGCCTAACATTAGTAAGAATGTTTCAGCAGTGAACATCAAGGTTTCAACAACGAGTGGCATAAATTTGGTGGATTCTAAATATCTTTCGATAATTACGGCAGAGAAAGCCAACATCTGATACAGGAGGTCAGCTGAGGGGGACAACCGCAATCAGAAGGCAAAGCGGGGGGGATGAAAGGGGTAGACACCTAGATCTTGTATATTAAGAGAAGTTCAGATGCAATTCCATACAATAAAATCAGGAGGAAACTCACAGTAAGATCTCTACCTCCCGCCGTTCCAAAGGACCAACAAATTCCACCTTTGCTCCCTGTATGACAGCGGTTCTTAAACTGGGGGTAATCTGGGCGTATCCTGGGGGTAGTGGAGCAATTCGTCATGGCTTGTTTGTGAGTTGCAGATCCAAACTGGGCTGCTGAAATGTTTGTGTAAAATCACAGAGTCTGATGTTTTTTGTGTGGGGTGGTGACATTATGCAAGGCCGGGAAAAGGGATGATTGGGTCAAACAATTCAAGAACCACGGCTGTACGAAGTCACCGTAGTCTTGCCCCACAGCGGACCTCCAGAAAGGTTGCCTGCTCTACAACCTTTTAAAGATGTAGCCCATCTCAGCATCAGCTAGTTACAACCAGGATAAAGAGGTGCCCTTCCCACACTTATGACCCTCATCTCAGGAGGTTAGAAACGGTGCTACGGCTCAAAGGAATCGCATTGCAAACAAAGAGAAGAATGTCTGTGCCCCGGACCCCAATCTCTTTCCTGTTCATGGTGGTGGTCGGGAAACTGGGGTTAATATAGGGGGGGGGCACTGCCATCCTTTGTTTTAATGGTTGCGTTCATTTTGTTTATGTTTTTGTTTAATTTAATATCGTAGTATTTAGCACTATATTTTGTAAGCTGCCCAAATCCACTGGGGTGGATGGCTCTATTAAACCTAATAAACAAAACCAAAAAAATAATAAAATACAATAAAATAAATGGTCCCTTTCATTAAGGATTCCTTTGCTTGAACGTTTTTCAGCAGAGCCTAGGAATTCCCCTCCTGATGGAATCCAATGAAATTATAACTGGGCCAATTTACTCCCCAAACCAATGCAGACTTTGTTCACTCCCCCGTCTCTAAGCAATGGAATTAACTAGAGTTGTCATCACTTCTTTTAGAAGTAGCTTCTGAATTCTACTGAAAAAATAATAATAAATATGACTACCATCCTACCAGATGGTGGTACCCTATGGACCTCTTTCTTCTGCTGCGTTACCAGGAGTCTTCCCTTCCAGTAGCGTGACGTAGATATTTATAACTCTGATGAGTTATGGCAGATTGGACCAGACACCTGTAATTGGTCCAAAACTGAATATCGCTGGACTTGGGCTTTGGGCCAAAACAATTTTAGGGGTGAAGAATGAAGCCATTTTTCTGGCAGGTTGATTTTTTTTTTTCAGTGTGTGTTTGTTTTAAAGGCAACTGCTTTAAGCTGTGCAGCATTCAGGAGTGTTCCCTGACAATGGAGAAAAATATCAGCCTACAGCATAATGGAGAAGGCGAGTTACTGATGGAAGACAGAGTGGATTGCAAAGGGCCCTATTTTTCTCCATTTTTCACAGGGATAAATTGTGACCAGATGATTTGATAGGGGCAGTGCAAGAGGAGGAATGGAAGCAAACTTCAGGAAGGGGGAAAGGATGCAGGCTGGGAATGATGGAAACAGGCTAAAGGAGATGATTTTTCATAGAGGGCTTGGGAGAGATTAAAGCATTTTGTAAGGCATTATCTCTAAAGCTGGATCTCCTCTTCCAGCTGGGGAAATAGTTCAAAGGAATGAATTGCATCATTCTCCTTCCAAACAACAAATGACAGGCACCTCTTTCAAATTAGTAGGTTCTTGGCATTTATGACTCTTAAAGGTGGACCACAGAGAAGAGACTCGGAACCCTCTTAAGTGGTTCCTGAGCTCCAAATATCCAAGGCTTTGGATAACTCCTGGTCCCCACACCCCAGACGGCACAGTCATTAGTGAGGGAGGTGTTAAAAGATTTGCTCCATCTCCAGCTGACCTTGTAACTGGTAATTTTAAAAACAGGGCTTTGCATTCCAAGAGAGCCACAGCTGCCCTAACCTGTCTTAAGCATCCATACCACCTGTTCCCTCACAGAGAGCACCAGGTTGAGGGGGAAAGCATCTCAAGGAAAGAATTGGTACTTCGGGTTCGGAGGGGGGAACCAGTGGAACATATTCACTCATTTGTTCAGCAGGCCATTGCGATTTTCGTGTGGATGGACACGTTTTAATAACAGAGAAGAAGGAAGGAAGGAAGGAAGGAAGGAAGGAAGGAAGGAAGGAAGGAAGGAAGGAAGGAAGGAAGGGAGGGAGGGAGGGAGGGAGGGAGGGAGGA